TTATCACAACTGAGCTTTCTAAAAAGAAAAATGCTGACCCTCCCCTGGATACAGGAGCTGGCCAAGTACAATTACCTTTGGCAGGATTTTTGGACTGAGTATCTCAAGTGGGAGAGGGGAAGGACCATGGTAAGCAACAAAAACAAGAGGAAGATGTCCCTCAAGCAGTTGGTTTTGGAAGGTCGGAAAGCCTGGACGGCTTTGGGGAAGGGTCACAAGGTGAGCGAGGAGGACTTATTTCAGCAGATGAAGGGTTGGATGATCAATGGGACCACCAAGTGGAATCCTTGCAAGATGTCGATCTACATTCTTGGTCCGAGAGCAGCCAAACCAGAAGCTCAGCAGCCGACGACGGGCACTCACCAGCAGTCAACGTCCAATCCAAACTCACACCAAGGGTGTTTGGCCCACCACTACATCCACAGTTGATCAAACATAAGCTGGAACAACTTTCAGGCTTATATTTGGGCCCAAGTGGAAGTAGGCAAGGGCCTGCAGCCAACTCCTCAACATTTTTGTTGAGAGCATGTTAGGATCGCAGGAGACTGAGAATGGGAATGGGAATGGGAACTGTATTCTTGCCCTGTATGGCCCAACAGTTTACAGCCCGACAGGCGTACAGAAGCATAAAGAGACTAAATCAGATTTCATTGGTTGGCTTGTGACCTCCTTGCTGAGATGTCCCTACTGGTCCCTCTCCCTTGCTTGGAGAAGCTTCCCTTTGAATTGAGGTATAACACTATGGCCTCCATCCACATGAGAATCAAATTTTTAGTCAGAAGTTGAAGAACATAACAACATGCCTCCCTCAGCCCCCCAAAAGTCTTGCATCACTCAGTTTCATGTTAAACTTGTTGATCCACTTCCTCAACCTGTGTTCAACCAATCTAGTGGCCTCACCTGTCCCAAATGTCCTTTGCAATTGAAGTATGTGCAACCTTATATAAGATCTAAGACCCAAGACCAATTGACCCATTTGACAGCGTGCCAGTAGGCTTTTTGTTTCCTCAATTTATGCTGTGAAATGTTGACACGTATTCCTTTGCTCTTTCTCATTGTTAGTGTCCATCAAAAACGCACAATTTTTTTTTTTTTTTTTAAATGAGTATATTTATAGTGCAATACCTGGCCCAAGGGCATAAAAACACAATGTAGTAGACAAGTCTGAAACTGAACAAATGATGACAAGCACAAGTTACGGCTGGGTGGAGGGACACGCTGTAGTTCCCGGCTCAGGACAATTTGATGAAGAAAGAGAAGAAAGAAATAAAGGAAAATGATGAAACTAGACAATTAGGGTATACAAATATGCTTCTGGAAATTTCCAGAAGTGTTTCCCCATAACACCAGAAGTTTCTTTTTGGGTGTTTTCTGAACTTATGGTATTCTGAAGCTTAGAATAACCAACACTGCATGTTTTCCAGAAGAGCAGGAGGCTTCTGGTGTTCTGGAAAAAGATGTCTGGAAATTTCCAGAACGAACTTTGTATACTCTAAATGACATCTACGCACGTGGCGTCAGGAGGTAGCTATGCAGTAGCGGTTCGAGGGTAAAGCGTTGACTCAGACTCGGAAGAATCTCTTACTTGGTCGCTTCTCCTTGAGGACATCAAACATTGTAACCTTTGCTCAGAAAGGCCTCAACCAGCAATGAATTTGAAGAACCTCCTCAATCCAACTGGAGGATCTCAACCAAAAAAAACTCGGGGTTCATCAACATCATGCCCTGGCCTCCCCAATGGTGATTTTGGGCCAAAACACCGTGAGGGAATCCCCAAAAATTGGAATTGCAGATATCAGCTATGCGTATCCGTAAGGTATTCATTAGGTTGACTATGTATTCTCAAAATGTTGGTTTCTGATGTATGCTTGCACTTAGTGTTGCAATCAACTTCAAAAAGTTAATCCCAACAGTCACTGTGGGATCCCAGGTCATTGTAGTGTATCAACTCAAACCTCAACTTCAAAACCTCAACCCATAGCAAGTCAAAACCTTTGCCCCCAAGCATCATCCCAGCCCTTACAGTCATCCCAAGCCAATCGCGAGATTACAGCTCTTGTTTCAACATCTGTCTTGGAACAGATTCATTGTAATCAAATTGACCACCAAATCATGTCAATCAGAAAGAATGTCTCAGAATCTGGTGAGGCTGGATCTGACAAGCCAAAAGGCTACCAAGTGGGGTTGACAATTTCAGCCTTTGGTTTCAATGCACCATACACACCTTCTGTGAATTTGAGTGTCAATCCCATGACCAGAGTTCATTTAAGATGAGTCAAATATTTTCGCCTACATCTAAGCTGGAATCCTTGTGATAACCCTCCTCAGCCTATGCTTGATGTAAAAGTTTCAAGGAGGATATGATGACTTCTCAGATGTCCCTTGAAAATTTTACAAAACAAGGGCTTTTTGTCATCAAGATTTCTCCTTTACAGACCTCAAATTTTGATCTCAGATGCACAAATTGGGAAGAAGTGACTCTTATGTCTTTTTCTTTGTTGATCTTATTCCTCAAAACGATCTTTGCCCAAACCTGTACCACCCGACCCTTCCAAACATCTTTATCTCTATCAAACTTGTGGTTGTACAGAGAAGTTTCCATCATACTCAGCTTCTGTAAAAACTTTGAAGTAGTCTGAAGTTTGTTTTGTGTTGTCTCCTTTGTTTTTGATTTGGATTGTTTTTTTTAGCAACATTTGTTGTAAAGTATCTTGTCTTGACCGCAGCCATCTCAAGTTTGAAGGCAATACTCTGTGTTAGATAGGAACAGAAATCTCAGTTGAGCAAGTGCCTTGCTTTTGTAGCTTATGGGACATTTCTCCGGCCGGTTTGAGATTCCATTCTCCTCCATCACACTAGGGGTATTCAAAACTCCAGAAACATGTCCCAGAAGTGTCAAGAAGTGACACCTCCAAAGTGTTTATGGGCATCTGGACTCTTCTGGGTCCCAGAAGAGTCTGTGCCCTCCATGAACGACAGATCCTTCTCATATCTCCCGCCACTTGGCATCAACTCAATCAACACCACACCATTGTACTCATCACCACCAAACAATCTTCACTTTCAACTCCTGCCTTTATTTCTGCCTGTGTTGTTGGTCATCACCCAATATATCTTGGAAATGTTGAACCACTTATTATTAGGACTGAATTTGACTCGGATTTGTTTTGTGTGCAAAATGATTTTTGTGAATAACAAATGAAAAGCTCAAAACCAATATCCATTCCAGAAACAAGTTGTTTTCTGATGTGCAAAAATGGAGTTTTGTTTCATTTCATCAAAGCATCTGTTTTACAATCACAAAACGAAATTCATTCGCTCTTTTCCATTTTGAAGAATTCCTAACCCGTACTCAAACACAATCATTGATACCAATGTGGATAGAGAAAGATATACAAATAAACTATCTCTGAAAGATGAGATAGGGAAGGTGGAGGAGTCAGTTGTTGAAATTTGTTTGATTGTTAAGTTTTGATTGATTGCTGGATTTCAATCGATTTTTCAGTTTCAATCAATCATTCGATTTTGACTCAATTCCTCAATCTCAGTCTATCATCCGATTTTGATTGATTCTTCAACTTCAATTGTGATTTGATGTGACTGTTTATGTTGAAGTGAAGGAAAGAAAGGTGAGATGAAGTTATAAAATCAATATCCAAATTAGTAACAAATCAACTATGGAAGAGATGAATAAGAGAAAGTGACACACGCAGTTGGATGGATAGCTCCCCAGGATATTGGTGTGAAGAACAAGTCAATTCCTTGAAGCTTTTGAAGGGAATGACAGTGGAATTTTGTTGTTTGTAGAGTGAAGAGTGTGACAATAGCCTAATACCTGCCGGGCTAAGAGGCGTTTCTAGCAAGACAGGCATGAGGTGATGGGGATGGGGGAATCATGGGGTTCTCAAATCTATCGAGAAATTCCCAGAAGTGACATCCAGAAAGACTTTGGAGGTGTCCCAGAAGTTTCTGGATGTCACTTCTTGACACTTCTGGGACACGTTTCTGGAGTTTTGAATACCCCTACTGTACTACCCAATCATTGTTCTTCTTATGTTTCTTTTCAGGTTTGTCAAAAGCATTTTCAGGCTCCAAAGAGTTCACATTCAGTCATCAAGCTGGTGAGTTTGATTGCCTCTGTCTGAGATGAATCTCAAGCTCTTAACAAATTTGACAACTTCTGATATTTAGCCTCTATTTGTGGGACTTTCAAGCCTTCACATATAGGTAGTCCGTTTTCTTACTCTAACATTGACTTTATATTATCTTGCACCTATAAACCATGTCCGATTCATCTTGCACTCTTCGCTGTAAGTGCATTTGTCCTCATCCTTTTACAGATTACTGATCAAAGTCTCTATGATATGTAGCCCAAAGTGTTCAAGCCAAAAGCCTCTCCATGGAGAACTTCAGCAAAAGCTACAATTTAAGCAGTCGAACAATTATGATGGAATTGCCACTATGCGGAATGAGTCAGGATGGTATTGTCAACGTCTACAATCTCTTCTTCGGTCCCTATTATCTCATGAGAGTGTTTTATTGTATTTGCTTCCTTCAAACATTTCATTACATTTGCAGCAGCTAAAAAGAGAACTTTCTGATAATCTGCAAGGGACAGCAATGAATAAATCTTACAAGAGTCTAGAGCAAAATGGGAAATTTGGAAACATCTCAGCTGAAACGAATGATAATGGTATCACCAAATTTGTCCTATAATTCCCTCCATCTAACGAGTTTTTTTATTCATAGTGATGTCTTAATGTGTGTTTAAGTACTGTAGGTTGGGCACCCAAGAAGCAAGATCATACCAAAACTCTACAACATGGATGTACAGCAAAGAAATCACCTTGCAAGCGTAAGAGGCACTCGGACACATCCATGCTCCCCAAACCTGGATTTTTGTTAAACCAAACCAATCCGACTTGTGAGCCAAATGTAAAGTTTATATATTCCAAGTACGAACTCTTATAGAAACCACTGCCCCTTTGTTAGATCTAAAAATGCCACAGGTGGGAATACAACGTAGGCTCTCTTTTCTTTTGCAGAATCGTTATGTGTGAGGAAAGCCTAGCGCTCATGAAATGTATTGTCTCTGTCTAGTTCAAGAAACTCCCTACAAGCGCAAGGGGAACAATTATACCATTCCAAGTTCCCTTCCCCTTTCCAATTGTGAGTAACCTGACCTCTATCAATCAAATCAAAAGCCAGCACATCAGATTGCTACTTATTGACTGCAACCAGCATATCCAGGTCTTCGCCAAAGACCTGTCTTTGTCCCCAATGACGCTCCAGTACGTGCTGGACATTCAACCAAAAGCAAGTTTAGTAAGACTGGAAGCTAAGGCACTCCATCTCAGTCTGGAGCTCAAGCGCGTGGTGAGATTCCTATCTTATTTATTACATTGTCTCTCATTTCTGGCTGACAGAGGTGGATTCCCCACTTTGATAGATCTCAAAAGGCCACAGTCGGGAACACAACGTAGGCTCTATTTTCTTTTGCAAAATCTTATGTGCGAGGAAAGTCAAGCGCTCATGAAAGGTATCATCTCTATCTAGTTCAAGAAACTGCCTACAAGCACAAGGGGAATAATTGTACCGTTCCAAATTCCCTTCCTCTTTCCAATTGTGAGTACTTGACCTGTATCCAACACATCAAAAGGCTTCACATCAGATGGCAACTTATTGACTGCAACCAGAAATATATCCAGGTCTTCTCCGAAAACCCACCCCTGTCCCCAATAATCCTCCAATAACTGCTGGAAATTCAAACAAAGGCAAGGTTAGTACGACTGGAAGTTGCAGCACTTCATCTGAGCCTGGGGATCAAGTGGCTGGTGAGATTCCTATCTCATTTTATTGCATTGTGTCAAAGGTCTGGCTGACAGGGGTAGACACCTCCACTTTGATAGGTCTCAAAAGGCCACAGGTGGAAGCACAGTGTAGGCTTTCGTTTTCTCAAATAGTTGTTAATTGTGACGACTGGTAAGAGCTCATGAAATGTATTGTTTCTATCTAGTACAAGGAACTCCCTACAAGCGCAACAAAAATAATTTTACCAATTTGAATTCCCATCCTCTTCCCAATCTTTGCCAAAATCTCATGTCTGTCGCAAATGACCCCCTGCTATCTGCAGCTCATCTGAACATAGACACGGCTCATATTATTGGATGCTACGGCACTTCTTCTCAATCTGCAACTCAAGCAGATGGTGAGATTTCTCTCTTATTGTGTTATCTTGTGTTATAGTCCTGGCTGATAGTTGATTGGTAAGGTTCGCTCTGTGGATGTGACAAGCAACTTCACGGAATCCTTCAAGAAGACTTTTGAGATATTGAACTTAACCTGCATGAATTCCATCTTCAAAAGTGTTATCCAGTGAAATGACTGCTTATTGGAATTTTTCCAATGTCTTAGATTCTATTCAACAATGTTCCTTTGATGTACTTATTCATATCAATTTCAGATATCAATGTATATATCCATTTTCTTTCTAATGTGCTCCTTAGTTTTACTCCCTTTTGACGGTGAATCAGATATGTTTTAAACTGGATTGGTCGAAGTAGTTTGATTTAACTTTTGGTTTGAAAGTTTCAAGGCATCTTCAATTTCTTTATCATGTTGAGTTTGTGCATCATCAATATTCTTTGAGAAGTTCAGGATCTTCTTGTGCTTTGACTGGTGGCATATAAGCACCTAATAAAAGAAATCGGATCCATTAGAATCTCAAATAGTTTACAAGTATTGAATACTTACTATAAAAGTGTTCTTTTTTGAATGAAGCTGTCCAGCCAGTAGTATAAGAAACACGCTCAGCTGTGTACAGCTCCAAGTTCCACAAGAGAATGATGCGGAAACGGAGCTGATGCTGAGCGTCATGCTCTTATAGCAGTCCGGTTGGCACTGAGCTGCAGTTGTGGCACGTAGGCGTGAGACAGCCTACAACAAGTAGCTTCCATGTACCCAGAACACATTGATGTCTTGAGTTTGACAGGGTTACAAAATTCTTCTCCTCAACTAAGAACTGTGGAATTGCTTGTAATTCTTCAATTTCACTTTGAGACATGATACTTGTAGCAGGGCTACTTAATATATCAGTTGATAATTTTTTAGGATAAAAATTAAATTTATCTGGATCTTTGACTTGTAAACTTTGACATTTTGGTCCTGCAAGGGTTTCAAGATTATAATCTAACATTGCTGCCAATCTAACAACAATTTCTGATTTGAACCTGATCTTGTGTTTTTGATTGGTCGTTCAGAAGGAAAGAAATCTTTCTGATGATTCTCAAGGAAGAAAGATCAATCAAACTATCTCAGCAGATCAGGTTGATGAACTATGTACAATTTTTATTTGTCATATGCGTCTATTCCAAAGCTCGGGTTCAAGCAGGGTGTCAAGCTGACAAAAGGTGATTTGGATTGAAGTTTGAAGTGGAGAAAATTACAAGCTTGAGGAAATTTTTTATTAACATTGAATTGATTGAGATCCTTTTGCTTGGCTTGGAAACGGCCAATGATACTCAAATTCTTTCTCAGTTGAGGCAGTGACATCCGTCGCGTGTGATCATTCCATATCAGGAAAAAACTGGAATTGCTCTGACATCCCTGTTCTTGGGAACATTCGATTGTTCGATTTGGGCCAGTTTGGGCCAAGTGAAATGAATGACCCGTTCAATTCTGAAATGGTCTTTGAATTGAATAGAATTCTTGTGAATTTTAAAACTGTTGTGTGGAAAGGCAGGTGTTGATTTGATTTCCTTCCAACCGTGTGCTTAATGTTGGACATATTTGGGGATGAATGGATGAATGGGTCTAACCCATTCAATCGGGAAAGGATCTCGATTGAACTCTCCGGATCAAAGGGACCCTTTTCTTTTGAAATTGACTGGCCTGGTTCCTTTGTTTCAAAGATAATCAATCGTTTGAGTCTACACCAGCCACCACCATCTTGTCTTTGAAGTCCTTCTGGCCTCAACATTTGTTGTCTTTCACATCCACTTTGGGTTTGTCTCTTCATTCGTATCAAAAACTATCGCTTTTACAAAAGACTTCTCTGGTACTCTACATCTCAATTGCACAGAGCATCCTAGGTCACTTTTCCCCCTAATTCACTGTTCTCATCTGCGTATTATGCTTGACCTCCTGCTTCGAACCTTGAGCTCATATTGACACATAACCCTGAAGCTAAAGGTAGAGCAAGATATGTGGATTTAAAACAACGGATGAAGCAAACAAAAACAAAGCATAAGTCTCTGAGTACCATCCTTTCTTGCAAAAATTGTACCAAACGCAAGAATGCTGAAAAAAAGAATCAAAGTCGTCCACCACCCAACCACTGTGCTGCAAAGAAAGCTGAACTTACTGAACTTTATGGACTCCCGCCTGAAACAAAATTCTTGTTCTTCAAGAAAGGCAATAAATTGAAAAAGCCTTTTCAAATTCACTTCGGGACTGTTGTATGCCTTGACAAAGACACCTGCTATCTACTAGCAGTGGTACAGTTTGTTGAGCATACTCCCGACAATTCAGCTTTATTTGAAAAACACAATCACACTATTCCAACTGTTTACAAACATGCTAGAGCCCAAGGATTGGTCAAGATAAACGGTGCTGCAAAGAAAGCCAGGGCAATCCAAAAAAACTATGGCAAAATGTATGCAGCTGGTTTCAGACCTGGTTTTGATCCCTTAGTTAAAGCAGGTTAGTCTCTCACTAAATTTCTTCCAATGATCAGGTGAAACTGACATAATTTGTTTCCAGCTGTGTACGCTTTCAATGCAACTACAAGGGCAAAGCTTTGGCGGACGCAAGAAGATCTCACCCATCAAGGAAATCTTCCTGCAATTGAGGATTTCTTTGCTGAACGTTTTGTGAATTTATCTTCTTACACTTTTGAATCAAACACAGAAATTGCTTCACACACTGGTGCTCCTTTGTGGGCTGGACGATCTTTCTACGTCTCACCTAACGCACAAGTCTTTGCTTCCAACATTGCCGTCACATTTGACAAGGTTGTCAATGCACCTCACAATAACAACAATATCAGTCAATATTCTTTTGGTTTCTTTACACATATCAACCGCAAAACTGGGAAACTTTACTAGCTAAAAACGATGAGTTTCAAGGCAATAATGTTGGATCTTGCTTCTTTTTGGACACCTACAACATTATGGTTGATTATGTGTGATGGTGTGGTGGAAATGCTGTGGAATAGCCACATTGAGCACCACACTTCAAATTCAGAAACTTATAACGCTTGGAACGTTAGAGTTGTCCCTTCAAGAGGAAAAATCACTCGATTTGGCTGTGCTTGCCAGATCAACCAAACTTTGGTGGATATAATTAATCAAGTCAATGAGATGTGTGTTGATATGAACGATGAGGAGTGGGCAATTTTTGTGGAACTCTTTTGACCGGCTATCCTGAGGAGGCACGCAAGACAATGGCTAAGTTGGCTGCAAAAAATGGAATTAATGACCTCAGCTTATCATTTTTACCTTGAAATGTTATTAGTCAAAGACCACTTGTTTTCCTATATTTCTCATCTTCACTTCTTTCACTCAAATGACTTTCCATTTGTATGTAATGTTTCATTGATCAGATCAACGTAAACAATCACTTTCAAGCAAAACTATCTTAACAGCTTGATCTTGAGCCCTACTTCACGTCATTTTTAGATTAATTGATCAAGTTGCTGGGGAATCATATCTGATGTCTTTAATTTTTTGGTTGGAGCTTTCATCTTGTGAAGCAAAGTTCACAGCCTATGAGGTCTAGATGTGTGATCCCAAGTTTCTAACCAAATGTAACAGCTTTTGCAGATTTGTATGACTTGGTGTCAGGTTGGCTGATCCTACGCATCAACACCCTAAAGTTCTTATCAAGTGAGTCCAAATCCACTTTACATATATCCCAGCAAGTTGATGTTAGCTTGATCATATCCAGAGATTGCCCCTACCTCAAGATTGCCCTCTTGCCTTTTGAATGTTACCTGAATATGTACTCGAGGGCGTGATCGAATTTTACTCATCCATTCCACGACATGCACCAGCCACCCTGCTTCAATCTTTGGCAGTGATAGACAAACTCTTGACATTCACCCCAGTATTTCTTACTACACCCTATTTGAAGAACTTTCACTTGAAACCAAAGTGCATTGAGATTTTGTTCTATTATAACACTCAATCTATCCCTGGCCGACCAAATGGGGTCCTTGGTGATGCACTTAATTGCCATCCAATGTCTTTATCTTGTCTTATTTTGGCCTTGATGCAGATCTATGTTGGTGAGTGGCTTATTGTTTCTAGCGCACTGCAAGGCATGTTCTGTCTGACTGTTTGCGTTTTTGGCCTCTAACAGAGGTTGAAATCACGGGTAGCCACTCCCAGTTTTATGATAAGTGTAATAGTCTATTGAGCCTACCTTTCATTGTGCTGACAATATCATCAATCTGGCAGTGTTACCAATCTGATCACCAAATTACAATTGATTTTGATCTCATATAGATATTGCTTTGATCCTAAAGGTTTGGAACAATCAAACTCATCAAATAGCCTTGAAGAAAGAATCCACTACCAAGTCTTTTATCCGATTTGCCAACTTATTAATGAACAATGTCACCTATCTTCTTGATGAGACTCTTTGACAATTACAAGACGTCAATTGAATCAAGAGCAAGATGGCAGATAGCGCAGCGTGGATGGCTTTACCTGAATCATAACAAAAAGATGAAGAAAGTAGATTACATTCATATGAACGACAATGTCCATCATTCTTAAGTCTTGCAAATGAGAATGTGAATATTTTGGAGACCTTTACAGAAGAAACACCAGATACGTTTTCAAAATCAAAGAATCCTTATTGTTAGGTTTTAGAATATTATCAGTAAAAATCTATCGAAGCTGGAAAACCAAAAAACCATTTGCTTTGTCTGGAAGAACTAAAGCTGATCAGATCAAAGCTCATGGCAAGGCAGGTAAGGAAACCTTGGCCTAAAAGCTTTTCATGCGGTCATCCTGTTGCTTTGAGGTGCAAAATTGAAAGCTAAGTCTTCCCAACCATTCCGACATGTCTCATACCTCATTCACCGCTTCACCTATTAAAGCTGGTCCTTTGTCAATAGCAAATGGAAATGTCTCAGTTGGCCAAAACCAGACTGCTGGAACTACAAGTTCCAATGAAAACATTGACATACTCACTGACATTTGTCTCCTTCAATACATTTCTTGTGCTTTTTACGAAGTACGGCATATTCTACTCCACTTTAACAATCAATACTTCAAATCAAACTTGAGGCTGCGTGCCTCCTTAAACCCCCTTCTTTT